AGGGGGCAAGTTTCCAGTGTGGTGGTGTGCCCGCGGGGGGGGGGGGGGGCGGGGCGGGAGTCACGACACCAAAACAGAACACTAGGAGCATTCTCCCTGCCCTTACGATGGGACCGTCCCCTTTGGAGCACACAGCACGCTCCAAAAGATGTGCGATTTAGCTGCTGGAGACAGGATTCATCAGTAAATGGAAGTTTACCTGCTCCTGTTTTTCAGCACTTTGATTTAAACAGGATCAAATTCAGGAAAAGTAAATGAATCTAAATTGGAAACAGTTATCAGGGTTGCTATCAGAGTCATCCAAGAGCTTTCACACAATTATTTTCTCAACCTCTCACTCAGAAGCCTATACGCTATTGGATGTTCATAAATCAGTTTTATATACAATTATGTGGTAAGCACAGCTCGCTCATTATAAACTGAAACTAAATGAAATGCACTCCATTTCAGAAAAGACTGTTAATCTATTCTTCAGGAATAACAAAGATGACAGGAAAGGCAAATCTTCCTAGGTTGTTTTCTTAAAAGATTCACGTGCAGAAAAATTCTTCTGCCAAAACACCCTCTCAAAAATACTGAGAAATGGATAAGCTGTAACCTCATAGTGTCTCTAAGCAAAGTTTTTGATTTGCTGCTTGCATAACGAGGATACTCGCTGAGCCACATCATTGCTTTAGCTTGGTGTTACAATCCCAAAATGTTTAACATGAGCAACTTGCCTCATCCAATACTATCATCTGGACATGCTCAACTTTTGCTACTCCTTTCTTGATGAGATCGAGAATTCTCCCAGGGGTAGCTATCACCACATGCACTGTAAGGTTAGAAGAGCAAAAAAAATGGTTAAGGTGACTAAAACAATGTTTCCGGCATTCGTGGCCGTGTTTCACACAAACAGTTTGAGAGAATAACAACAGCATACAAACAGCGAACAAGACATATTGTAGTCTGTTCCGTAACAGGCAAACAATAACAACAAGCAGAAATTCCACTGCCACACTGTAAAAGCCACAAACAAACAGCAACTGTAGCATAGCAAAAGCACTCCGACCTGTATCATCAAGCCTCATTATGTCATCTCGCAAATTGGTTCCTCCTGTTGTTGCCATCACTTTGGCACCTCCCATGTGTTTGCTGACTTGGATACAGATTTGACTGACCTGCAGGGCTAGTTCACGGGTGGGAACGATCACCATTGCTGAAAAGTTAAAAGCGGCAGTGTGAGTTACTAGTAACACACCGTACCTTAACCACTAATCCTTACAGGAGACAGAGACTTTATGAAAGCTGTACTTCTATGGTTTTGCAGTTCCACTCTGCATATCCTGAACAAGACCTAGAAACTGCTTACGACAAGGCAAATTCTGTGCCAGGGTTCTTCATCCCTTGATATTCCCTCCGCACGAGTCCCCTGGCCAGCACACTCACCTATTACTCCAAATCCACTTTCCAGGGCAAGACAGTAAAGTCCAGAAGACGTCTTCCATTTCAAGGTTTTGAAAGCAACTGTGGGACTTATAAAATTCCCCCTCCCCTCCACCACTCCCCAGTAAGTTTCGTTGAAAGCACAAGCAGATAACCTACGCTGCTCAATTTCATTGACCGGTTTTAGATTCGAGTCTGCTAGACAGCAACTGTTACCATTACCTGGCTGCAGCTAAGCGAGATCCATCTCAACTGACCTTGTATATTGTCCTTCTTTAAGTCTAGCCGTTCAAGTAAAGGAATGAGGTAGGCTCCACTCTTGCCTGTTCCATTTTTCGCTCTAGCCAAGATATCCCTACCAGATAAAGCAATGGGGATGCTCTCCTCCTGAAATGCAATGACAGACAATGCATGAGCAACCATAAGCCACACTCGCTAAACAAGCTGGCCAAATTTAACTCCCCTCGCTAACAGTATCACGTGAAATCCAATTGTTTCATGAACAAAATATCCTGCAACCGCAAGCACCGCAGACTCACAGCAGGAAGGAGTTAAACCTATCAGTAAAGAGTTCCGCAACAAAGTGATAGCTCCGCTCCCCATATCCCACCTAAAAGTCCTCATCTTGTCTGCTCAGAAGAGAACCAGGGATCAGGTACCACAGCGACAGTAAACTCGTAACTGACACATTAGGAAAAAAGCAAAAAATCAGGGCAAAAAGCAGAGACAATGACAGTCGCTAGCAAACTCCTCCTATGGAAAAAGATACCCACCTATATCTTAACATCAGAACCACCTCAGCCCACGTAACTCAAACCTGCATGCTCCTGTGATATAGTTCTCATAAAACCAGCAGGCTTTCCTTTTGAAACTTCAGCCATTTAAGCACAGGCCCCAGGTATTTTTCTCTTTACTGTCTTTTACAGCAACACATAAAGAACCCTCAGCCTTTTGGAAAGGCAGCATGGTTAGATTCGGTTTAAAGCAGACAGATTACCTAAAAGCCAGAGCTTTCTCATGCCTTAAGGAGATAAAGTGGCAGAGCTGTGTAAATGATAATCCTCCAAAGAGCAATTAAAAGAGCGTTCAACCTCCCCGCCCCCCTGAAGTTTACACATCAACAGTTCTTAATAGAACAAGCCTTAAAAGTAAAAGCAAGATGGAGGGTCAGAAAAGTAAACTTGCTAACGTTTTAATCTCTCTCCCATAATCTCCATTATGCTCCTTCCAGACACTTACGATAAAAAAAGCCAAGCCATAGTTATCTTTGGAACAACTAAAGGTACGCAGCCTACGGTAACTCAGTTTTCCGGAAAACGTACAGAACAGCCCTGTTCTCACTGGGACTACTTATGTGAAGGATGTGACTGAACAGAGGATTAACACACTAATACCTCCAGAGTGAAAAGGAAAATCCAGGTTAACTTCTCTAAAGCATAGGTCAGTCCTGTCTCTAAGTCACCCACTGCACGACTTAGTGATTTAGTCAGGCGTTAGAAATGTTCTCCTTCCCCAAAGGGCCACCAAGTTCTACCGTTCACAACCCCAGCTTTCCCAAACCATGGCACAAGTATCCGACGTTTAAGCACAAATAAGAATTTCAATAAATTTTCAATAAAAATTAAACGCTGCTTGTAGGTAGTATGTTTGTAAACAACCTGTATAGGAGATGGTTTTTCCCAGCCCATTTCAAAAATTCCCATCAGCAACTCCCGTTTCAAACAGTAATCTTCAAACTCGTTTCCTTTTGTGGAGGTCACGTCCTGAGTAATCAAAAAAAGCACATCCATAAGATCAGGTCATACAACCCGCAGCCGTAGATTGGTCTGACTCAAGGAGAGACTGCCTATGCAGGAAGACCACAAAGCACATTCCATTACTGTATAGGAGTTCCCACCAATCTGTGTGATACCATACAGCGGAGAAGGAAACGTCAGCTTTCTCATAACCAAATACAGTACCGTGAATACACGCTGACATCTTTCAATCTGCCTTGCAAGAGACACTGACAATCAGTCCCATGCTGTGACACTAATAAAGTAAGAAATCCACAGTAAACTCTGTTTTTGAGCTTTCCAAGAGCAGCGTCTCTCCCAAGCAATTGTAGAACAAATTAATTCTTCCTTTAAAACAGCAACAGCTGAACTGCTTTTGAATCTTTGCTTAGGACAAATGTTTTGCCACTGCAGCTTCTCCCACATCTTTTATTTAATATTTATTCCTACAAGTCAACCATCCTTACCGAAGTTTTGATTCTCAAATCCTTTGGAGGGAGTTTTAAAGTCTTCTTCCAGTCATCACCAGGTCTATAGCAAAAATAAAGCAAAAATAAATTTTAAAAAAATCTGGTTTAATAATTTTATTTTGCATTTTTGTTTTCTTAGATACAGTGATGAACACGTAATATTTTCACCTCCTGAAAGCTAAAAGCGCCTACACATATGAGCTCAAGTCTTCTCTGAGCTAAGCAGGATGCAACAGGCAGGAAATTGTAAACAGAGAAAATCAGCAGTCTGCCAAGCGCACAGAGAATTTGTGAAATCTTTATCCAGTCGTGATTCAAGCCCCGTTTTTAGGGCACTGAATCAATCCAGTAGAACACAGATTTAAAACTGAGCACGGACTTAGTCATATGACAGAAACTGGCTATAATAAATCCACACGAGAATATGTCATCACTTAAAAAAATTCTCTTGCCCAGGGAACATCCATTCTTAATCTGTGAGCAGTGAGAGAAGATCAAAAACACTTCTACAGAGAAAAGTAAGCACACACTCCACTTGTTGACCAGTCAATCTTTTGCTCTCAATGAGATTCAGACACCCATCCTCTCTTGAAAGCCACTGTACGGAGGAGAGTAAGTCCTTCTCTTCCCCAATCCCAGGAAATTATGAGTGAATCTTGATGGGTTTAACTCATCAGTTTCACTAGAGTAACCCATTAAAAAAAACAAACACGCACAAAACAAGAAAACCAACAAAAACCAAACAAACAAACAAACACAAACAAAAAATGAGTTAGGCAAATTTTAAGAACCTGGGTATTCCCTTATGCGCTCTCTGGTGACAGCTGGCATTTCCTTCACAAATAACTGAGTAACAAAGCAAAAGCGAATGTTGTTCAGGGGGAGGAGGAGCCACAGGAAAAAACAAAAGGAACATGCTACCGTACCATCCAAGTCTTTTACGTCTTTCAGAATTTCCAACCAGCACGCTCGCGTTTTATTAGCACACTTCCAAAACCAGTTTGATGGTAGGAGGGTATCACAGTAGTACCGTATTATCTCAGCTCAGGCTTTGACGAATTAAAGCCAGAGCGTTACACTGAGGAGAGCAAGCGCTACTATTTAAGACCAATGACAAAAGATAACCGACTTCATAAAGAATTTCTCACCATGAGAAAGAACTGCAACTAACAACTGAAAAGGCATACACAACTGGACTGAGACTAGGTGGCATTTCTTCCTCTGTCTTAAATTTCAGTTCAGTTCCTTCCCACTCCCCAACTTCCCTCTCATACCACTCGCAATGAGCAAAGAAAACAGGATGCTGCTGCTGCTGCCCAGCGGGCCACCTCTGACAAGCAGCTACGCGTTCTGAAAACCAAAGCGTCGAATTCGATTTTCACAATGAACACGCTGCAAAGATCACTGTCAGAGAGGAGCTCACGCACAGAAAAACAGCTTTCTTTTCATAACGCACATCACAGGATGCTTCTAACGGCCAACGTCATAAAACAGCAGCAAAAAAACTTTTTAAAATGGGAACCCAAGAACGCTTTCCCATACATGACTTTCAAACGTTCCTTTTGTGGCAGCTGATACAAACACTTACTTGATAGCGGTGGTCATACTCTGTGCTTGCTGTTGAGTGCCGTTATTGATTGTGTTGGCATTTTTCAGCTGGTTCATCTGTTGCTGAGTTTGTGTGCCTCCACCCCCTGGGCCCGCGCTGGGTTTTACAGGGCCTCTCAACTGCCCATTCTGACTGGATAGACCCATTATAACAGGGTTCTCTGTTCTGGCCGTGCTCATGTTTGTATTTTTAAAGATGTCTTTTTAGACTTCAAAACTTTGAAAGTCAGTACAGAAACTGTAATAACAGTTTATTAGACTCTCCAAAACGAAGAGATAAATAAGTCTTGCTCAATATATGAGTCCTTTATTGCAATGCAGGCAAGCACCTGTAAGTCACTCAAAAGTAAAGTAGTAACTTGCTCTGATGCACTGTGGATCAACTTTTTTTTAAAAAAAGCCCTCTAACAAAGTTGAGTCGTATCAGAATTCACTTGCTTCAATCTGAAAGAGAAGCAGACGATAACAATTAGCATGTGGATTTTCGTCTACGTAAATCACCGCATCAGTTTACCTTTGTATTTTAAGAATCGCTTCTTCCCAGGCAGCACGCAACAACGGTACTCGCTTTTCTGTTTTCTTGGTCATAATCATCGAGGTACACATCAAACCTTTTTCCCCTTTCTATAAAGCTGCGCCCACCACCTTCAGTCACCAAAGATAATTTTCTAAACATCTGTACTTTCAGCAGCCTTCCAGTGAGTAACCGCTTGAAAAATACTACCTGTCCCCCCCCCGAAAGTAAACGTGAATTATATCAATTGCTTTGCCAGTTCTTGAAATTCCCCCACTTCTGGGACACGGCAAAGCAGCCCTAAAATGCTAAGCAACAACGTTACACACAAGTTTATGAGAGGAAGCAAGACCACAATATCGAGTGGACATTCCAGTCAGAACTGACAAACCCCTTAAGTTATTCTGATCGCCCTTTTCATTTCAAAAGGGAAACAGAAATTACGTTCTCTTTTTTTTAATTAAAAAAAAAAAACAACCACGACAAAACCCAAACAAACAGCTTACCCTCCTCCAACCCAGAAGTTACTTCAACCAGCTTACTCAAACTTTTAAATTGGGTATTGATTTAACACCATTCGCAATAGCGAAACTAACGATATCATCAAGCTGAATTGACAGCAGCTTCCTGTTTTGTTAAGTCTAAGTGACTGAGCCTAAACTGAAGCAGTGAGTAATATACATTTGCACTAGATACCTAGCTTCCTGCTTATGTGTTCCACGTGACGTTACCTTCCAGCTGTCAGTAACAACTCATATTGCGTTCAAAAGATAACATTTGGTACACATGACTTAATATTGACACCGTGTTTAACAGAAAGGTTGGCAAAACCGTCAAGAGAGAATACAAAGTCTGCACCTTACATAAAGTAAGCAACAGATCAGAGCTGAAAAACTCGTTACGACGATATTACAGACCCCAGACATTCCTAGCCCGAAACCTTCCGGAAGCAACAGAAAGTAGGCTTGCCTGTACAATTTCTCATCACCACGCATCTGCATCTTGGGAAAACGCGAAGGAAAAACCAGCAGACTACTGCTGCCTACCTTCAGCGTCCACAAAAAGCACGCGTTTCCCCAGTGAATAATAGGCATGTTCAAGAGCATTTGAAGAGGACAGAAGAGGAATTCAGACTCTTCCTAGACTTCCCAGCTGTTCCCAAGCGTGTCAATTCTAGCTTCATAGCAAAACTTTAAAGTTTGCAGAACTAGGATTTTTCCTGCTAGTTATCTTCCTGAGTGGAAGCGCTATTTCAAGGCATCTTCGAAGAGAGATTTCTCCTGCCCATTAACTTTGTAAAAACCGGAGGAGTCACAAAAGTAACGAGGGCTGCCTAAAAGACCCGGATACTAACGCCGAGGAGTTCCCCAATGTTGCAGGAGACGGAACCTACCAGTCCCTTAACCTCCCTCGCTCCGAACTACGCTTTAAAAGGCCAGAGATTAAAGGAGAACACACAACCTCATCGAACCCAACAAACCCCCCCCTTCCGAGACG